ATTATTATTCTTTTCTTTTGTTCTTTTCGGACTATTGATAAACATTGCAATGCAACGACATATTATCTACCCCTTGCATTGCAATGTTTATCAATAGTCTGAAAAGAACAAAAGAAAAGAATAATAATTCTGTACATATTTCTCACTTTCTATCATTTTGTGTTGATAATGACCTTGTGTATAGGTCGAAAGCTTCACTATTGTTTTTTGAATAAAACTAAATAAAATGATTGACGAATTAGTATTCTTTGCAATTAAAAACATTTGAACCTGTTGAACAAACAAAATTTCATACTTTGAATCCATTTTCCCACAAATAGGCGCACAATTTCATTCGTTCTTCAAGTAACTCATTATGAGCCGAGGCAACATATACTTCAGTTTCAACAGTTTTTGCTTGAGTATTCAAATCCTAAAACTAGTTATGAAGAGAAAAAAACAAGGAAGTAGTAAAATATTTACAGCAAGTTGATGCTCTTTGATGGAAAAAATGCGTTCAACGCCGATACTCATACCAATACAGGGTACACGACTTTGGCGCGAATCGATCTTGTTTACGAGTTCATCGTATCGACCACCACCTGCCACACTTCCTACTGCTACTTGATCCTCACCTAACGTTGGATCATATTGATAAGAATTGAGCGTAGCTTCAAAGATGACACCAGTATAATAGTCCAAACCGCGCGCCAATTTCAAATCAAACACGATCTAAAAAAAGAAGTGTATCAGTCATAAAATGCAGATGTTTCTTACTTTGTCCATCACACCGTACAAAGTCAAATAGCGAAAGAGTAATTCAAGTTCATTGAGCGCTTCGATAGCCGTTGATTGTGCGCACAATTGTGAATCCTTTCGAAGTTGGTCGACCAGATCGGCACCACCTATTAGAATAGTTCAATCGAATCGACAAAGAAAACGAGAAGTTACAAACCGCGTAATTGTACATATGACCAAATTTTGTCGGCTATGTCACCTGGTAAACCTTTTTCGTTGACCATTTCATTCCGAACAGTATCCCATGGTGTCTGTAAAAATAGTATCAATGAATATTTTCAAAATAAAAGAAACAAAAATACAAACTTTATCAAGTTTATCCACCGATGAACTAATCGGGCGAAAAAGTGCATCAGGTACACCGCATACAGCAAAAATCGCATCGAGCAGTTTTCGATGATTGAGCTGAATAATAACAAAAAAGTTCTTTTTTTAGAAGTGAAGTCTTTCCAGAAAAATATCTGTTGCCTATGCTGATTAATGTCAATCTCAAACAATAAAAGAGCAGCGAGATTTATTTAGAAATTACAACATTCAAAAAGACAAAAACTAATCCGAGATTGAAATTAATACTATCCATTTCAAAATCCAAAAAATGGATACGAATGAAATTTAAAATCCATTCGATGTATTTAGCTCACAAATTCACTAATTGAAATAATCTTTTATAGTTACATTTCTTAAAAGAAGTGTAAGTCAGTGTTTTTTAGATAAAAAAGGTGCTTAAATCTACAGTATATTTACAGAATATTGTTTTCTTTGAACATAGACTGAAGGATCATAGGTAATATTGCTTAAGCTAACAAATTCGTATAAAATAACTAATCTTTGAGTAATCCACAACTCTCTGGAGAACTAATGATGACACTACCACTTACGTAGTTATATACACAACAAGATTTATTTCCTCGTAGAAAAACCTTCTTAAATCTTTGTTTTTAACGAAATAAAACATTTAATATTTTGACTTTTTAAAACAGAAACTCTGCAAAGATGATTTCGTCTTTTTAATACAAAATTAAAAGTCGAAAAATATAAGATATACTTAGATTAGGCGAACCATGCCTGTTGTCATAAAAAGTTATGTATTTTGTCTTATCTTTTTAAGAAATTAATGTTCTCTTTTTTACTGACAAGCACTAGAATAAATCGACTTACGTAGACACGAAAGGGTCCGAGTGCGAGTTTGTCAAGAATTTCGACAGTTATTTTAATACACTCGGCATCGGGTACCATCGATGCATAATCACCAGCAATATCAAAATCACACTGGTAAAACTCACGATATCGGCCTCGAGTCATTTTTGGATTATCCCGTCGATAAACTTTACCAATGTGATATCGTTTCATATGCGAAAGTTTGTTCTGAGCAAGATAACGCGCAAATGGAACAGTCAAATCGTATCGTAATGCCAACTGTTCAGCTCCGCCTTGATCTTTAAGCTCATAAATGAGCTTAGAATCTTCGCCATACTTTTCTGTAAGTAGAGGCTGGAACAAAAATCAAAGAAAATATTGAGGCCAAAACAAAAGATATTAAACAAAATATACTTTGAGTTCTATCACGGGCGTATCAATTGTTTCGGCTCCGTGCTGTTTAAAACAGTCGATGATCGTACGAAACACCTCTTCACGAATTCTCATCTGAGCTGGATGATAGTCTCGCGTGCCCTACAAGATTCGTATAGATAATATGAATACCAATCGGCGTGCCAGGAAATTACTTACTCGAGGCGTTTTGATGACAAACCCAGTGTCTTCTTCATTAGGTGTCATTTTTGCCATAGCATCGTTAATCTAAATTATACCAAAAAAAGTATTATTATCCTGCGTAGCATTCGTCATGAACTGGGTGCTCGTTCAGAAGATTTCTAATGAGAAATCTAAATAGCATACTCGTAGATTCTTTTGTCATTCTAAAAATATAGAGCCTGCAGGAACTAAAAAGACTGCTACTGCTGGTACCAAAGGGACTAATACAAAAAAGATGACCTTCTTTTCTAATGAACATCTATAAGTTCAAACCAAAGGCGAGCTCAGATATTCGAAAATGTTCTGACTTCTCCAGGCATGCATGTGTTTTTTAAACTAATATGTAGTCCATATCTAGATTCAATGGCCCTTAGAATACTCTAAATATTTGATTCAAACGAACATTTCTGTCCTCAAATATGAGATTTTAAAGTAATTTCGTATTTATCTTACATTATAGTGATCACTCAAAAACATTTTCTGTACGTATATAGACAAAGATAAACATATGGTTTCTAATTGAATCAGTCTCGTCTTCCACTTATTTTTACTCACAAATTTATTTCTTTGGCTTTATACTCTTTCAAGATGTCTGCTAAGTAGAGAGCTGCGGGTCCATGTTTTTTTGGACCCGGGCTCGGTCGGATCCAGACTGGGTCTTTTTTTCAGCAATATCTGGCACCCTCTGTGTACATGAACAAATAAAGGTACAAGGTTTTAGCTCTTTATTGGCAACTTTATATATTTAGATTCGTAACTTAATGCAAACCGGGTTTGAAGCTAAACTTATATATAGATCTGGACCCGGGTTCGAGCCCCGGTCTGGAAGGACTCGCAGATCTCTACTGCTAAGGAAACTAGTTTAATAGATATTTTTGTCGATTATTGCTGTGCAATGAATTGAATGAATAAACAATTATTTTTGAAGATGAGAATTATTGAAATTTTTTGACTCCGCTTCTTTTTATAACGGTTATTTTAACTAGAATAATAGTCTTTTTTCATCCAAAGAAATCGAAAGAAGTCAAGATTTTGCAGTGTTTAAAAAAGTGGAATAAAAATCCCTCTGCCGTCCTGCAAATATGAAAACACTTGCAGACAGAATCACAATTTTTTGTCAGTTAACGGATCTTTTCCGTCAAAAAAATCTTAATATATCAACAAAAACGACTTAAGAGTATGTCGATAAGTTCTAAGAATACTGACTCGAAAGTCACAAAAGTTTTATGCTCAGTGAAATCGTCGTCAGCTTTATTTCTGTATGCATAGGATTTTAATTGGTTTGAAATTCATATAGCATGTCATATGCTGCTCGATAATATACTGTTCAATAGTGACTGATAAAAATAAGTTTCACATGATTAGTGAATTATATCCACGGACATCTGTGAGAAATGCTGGGGAAATAACAACATAAGTCATCAGAACCAACCTGTTCAGTAAGTTGACGGATAAGAGCACTCTGCGTTTTGATCAAATCCTTGAGATCATTATCGTTGAATGCATGAGCAATCGGCATGTTCGAAGCCAAATCCGATGAGGCATTTAAGCTTGTAGCCATGTGTGTCAGAGCGAGAAACTATCAAAAAATCTATGGTACGAAGTGAAAAAAACCAGATAATCTAAAGTAATATAATCAAGAATAGACAGTCTGATGCAATGTAACCTAAAATAGACAGTCTGATGCAATGTAACCAAAATAGACAGTCTGATGCAATGCAACCTAAAATAGTACATTGGTACGTACCCTGAACAAATGAACAAACGAAGGCATCAAAATTGAGTTTTCAATGCCTCTTTATGATTGTATAAATTTCTACCAGAAATTCAAGCTAATTATTTTAGCTCGGAACCTCGCTGACCGTTTCTAGCCCAAGCTTAGATCACGAGATATACCATATAGATGGCGCTAGTTTAGCAAATATTTCGTGATCTCAGCTTGGGCTAGAAACGGCCAGCGAGATTCTGAGCTAAAAAAATTAGCTTGAACTTCTGGTAAAAATTAATCCAATCATGAAGAAGCATTGAAAACTCGATTTTGATGCCCTTCGTTTATTCATTTGCTCAGGGTACGTACCACATGTAGAGAACAGGCACATCATTAGTTATTTATAAACATAAAGACAGAACAGAAAAAAATTATTGGCTAAGAAGCTCATCACTGTTGAATGAGTGTACTCATTCAATAATGGTGTGCTTCTTAAGCAATAAATTTTTTTCTGTTCTGTCTTTACATATATAAATAATGATGATGTGCTCATTCTACGCATGTATCATAAAAAGAATGATCTAGATAGAACAAAACAAAGAAGAATACGAAAATGAAATATTGAAAAGAAAAATAAATAAGTAAGTAAATAAAAGAAAATATTTTGATAGTTGGTTAACGTAACTAACCAGTGATATCTGTACGAGAAATCACATTTGAAAAGAGGGTGCTAGTTTCTTGTTTTATTCAATCAGCACAGCAGTGGGCAAATTTTGAGTAAAAGAAATTTCCTTCTAAAATATGCATATTTCAGAAATTACTGCTATACCAAATGCAAGTTTTAGAATATACCGTAACTACTAACATACTATTCCAGATCAGCTATAACCAAAACAAGGAAATTACCAGGAAATTTCGGTAATTACCTTCATATAAGAAAAGAAATTTCCATGAAATTTCTTTTCTTATGTGAAGGTAATTTCGGAAGTTGTCAGGTAATTTTCTGGAAAGTTGTTTGAAAATTCAGAAATTTATGCGGAATTTCTCTCTGTTGTAATGGTAATTACTGAAATTTCAGCGATATTTCTGTGATTACACAGATGTATGTCTCTCAATGGTATCACAGAAATTTTGGTATTTTCGGAAGTTTCTTTTTTCGGAAATCTGAACGTACCTCAGCATTATTCTTAATAATTATTTTGCTGATATTACTGGAAACCTCAATAACCAATCATTCATCTGTCTGAAAAAACTCAGTGTATGCTCAACTAAAATGATGCCTGAAGCGCGTCAGCATCTATCAGATTCAAATTATCCAAAAAACAAGACACATTTCATGTCAAATAGGTGTCTAGACTAGACGATAGTCAGATGCACCTTTTGATAAGACGGATGGCATTTTTTTTACAGTAAACTAGAGTACTTTTCCAGATCAGCGACATTACAGCATCCTCACTCTTTCTTGTGCTCTGTCAATTAGACCAATTGGTATATTGAGTGTTGCCAATCAGGAGAAAAACCGGAACTAATACCTGTTTCGAAATAAAAAAAGGGTGGCCATTTTTTGAATAACTTTTGATAGGTCGATGGTGGAGAAGTGAAATTTTTAGAGTAGATAGAGCAAGTCAAGGGCTACAAAACGACACCCTCCCGAAATTTTTTGTAGGA